TTCATCTCAAAAAACAAAAACAAAATTAGCAGGGTGTAGGTGGCGTATGCCTGTAATCGCAGCTACTAGAGAGGCTGAGGCAGGAGAATTGCCTGAACCCGGGAGGTAGAGGTTTCAGTGAGCCGAGATCACAGCATTGCACTCCAGCCTGGGCAACAAGAGTGAAACTCTGTCTCAAAAAAAAAAAAAAAAGAGGGTGGTAGGAAACTTTGGGAGGTGAGGGATATGTTTATGACTTTTATGGTGGTGATGGTTTCATGAGTGTATACTTGTCCCTAGGCTCATCAAGATGATGTCAATCATACCTCAAAAAAGTGGTTTTTAAAAAGTTTTTCCTATGTGTGTGTGTATATATTTTTTTCTTTTTCTTTTTTTTTCTTTTTTTTGTTTTTTGGAGATGGACTTTTGCTCTGTCACCCAGGCTGGAGTACAATGGCATGATCTCAGCTCACCGCAATTGCCATCTCCTGGGCTTAAGTGATTCTCTGTGTCTCATCCTCCCAAGTAGCTGGGATTACAAGCGCCCACCACCACGCCTGGCTAATTCTTGTATTTTCAGTACAGATGTAGTTTCCCATGTTAGGCTGATCTCAGACTCTCTGACCTCAGGTGATCACCCACCCGCCTCAGCCTCCCAAAGTACTGGGATTACAGGAATGAACCACTGTGCCTGGCCTTTTTTTTTTTTTTTTTTTGCGATAGTCTCACTCTATTGCTCAGGCTGGCCTATGTTTATTTTTTTAAATTTCTATTGTGAATCTTTCTCTTCAATTTACATATAACCAGCTATTGTTTGTAGCTAGAATAACCATTCCTTTTTGTATGTTGATTTAGTAATTGGTTATATTACTAATTTTTCCTTTTTTTTGAGACAGAGTCTCACTCTGATGCCCAGGCTGGAGTGCAGTGGCCCATCTAGGCTCACTGCAACCTCCGCCTCCTGGGTTCAAGTGATACTCCTGCCTTCTGAGTAGCTGAGATTACAGGCTTGTGCCACCACAACTAACTGATTTTTATATTTTTAGTAGAGACAGGGTTTCACCATTTTGGTCAGGCTGGTCTTGAACTCCTGACCTCTTGATTCGCCCACCTGGGCCTCCCTAAGTGCTGGGATTACAGGCGTGAACCACCGTGCCTGGCCTTACTACTGAATTTTCTTGTTAAAAATTTTTATTTCGTGGGGGGCAGGTGAAGACAGGGTCTTGCTGTACCATCAGGCTAGAGTGCAGTGGCATGAACAAGGCTCACTGCAGCCTGGACCTCCCAGGCTCAAGTGACACCCCTGCCAAAGCCTCCTGAGCCCAGCTAATTTTTTCTTTTTAATTTTTTGTAGACAGGGTCTGGCTCTGTTGCCTAGGCTGGTCTTGAACTCCTGGACTCAAGCAATCCTTTCACCTCAGCCTCCCAAACTGTTGGGATGACAGGTGTGAGTCACCAGACCCAGCGTGGTTAGTAATTTTTAAATGCTCTTATTATGTTTTTGCTTTGTACAAATCATATCCTCTAAATAAAGGATAATTTTGTCTTTTTCAATTATATTTATTTAATTCCCTTACCTGGGAAAGAGAGAGATCATTTCCACAGAAAGCTCCTTGGAGGGTCCATAACTTGGGTAAATGTTGCAGGTATAGTAGCATAGACACCTCGACTTGAACTGTCCTGCTTCCCACTAATGGAGTAAATCAATAGAATGATTGGTGGCCCCTAGAACTCTCTACTTATTACATCATAGAAAAACTCAGTATAATAGTGATTTGAAACATGTTCACAGTAAGAACTAGAGAGTTTTATTTTCTGGATTAATGTGAGAGGCATTAGAACCAGAGCGACTTCATCTTGAATGGAGGCAGGTAAAATGAAGCCGAGACCCGCTGGGCTGCATTCCCAGGAGGTCAGGCGTTCTTAGTCACAGGATGAGATTGGTATCACAGGACACAGGTCATAAAGACCCTGCCGATGAAACAGGATGTGGTAAAGAATCCATCCCAAACCCACCAAAACCAACATGGGAAGGAAAGCGACCTCTGGTCGTCCTCTCTGCTCATTATACACTTACTATAATGCATGAGCACGCTAAAAGACACTCCCGTCAGCTCCGTGACAGTTTCCAAATGCCAGGGCCAGGTAGGGAAACCTATGTGGTCAAAAGAGGAACCCTTAGTTCCAGGAATCTCTGCCCATTTAGCAGAAAACTCATGAATAATCCACCCCTTGTTTAATGTATAAGCAAGAAATAACTATCAGTATACTCAGTCCAGCTGCCCCTAGCCCTGCTCTGCCTACAGAGTAGCCATTCTTTTACCTTTTTGCTTCTCTAATAAACTTGCTTTCACTTCACTCTATGAACCCAAATTCTTTCTTGCCAGAGATCCAATAATCTTCTCTTGGCACTGGGTTCCCTTTCTAGTAACATTAACCTCACGACTAAATGCCTTAGCCTGATATAAATGTACACAAGTATATGAAATGTGAATCCAGCTAGTATCATTTTTGATAAATTGGCATCAATTTAAAACTTTAAGAGAATCCACAAAATGCACGTTGTCCAAATCCAATCCGCAAGAATGATTAAAAACAGTTTAAGACCCCAAATCCCTCACAACGCTGGTTTACAGGAAACCAGTCCCGATCCAGACCACAAGAGAGGGCTCTTTGATCTCACGCAAGAAAGAATTCAGGGTTGGGCAGACAGTGCTGGCTCACACCTGTAATCTCAGCACTTTGGGAGGCTGAGGCTGGTGGATTTTGTGAGGTCAAGAGTTCGAGACCAGCCTGACCAACATGGAGAAAACAGTCTCTAATAAAAATAGAAAATTAGCTGGGTATGGTGGCACATGCCTGTAACTCTAGCTACTCAGGAGGCTGAGGTCAAAGAATCACTTGAACCTGGGAGATGTAGGTTGCAGTAAGCCAAGATCTGTCCATTGCACTCCAGCCTGGACAACAAGAGTGAAACTCTGTGTCAAAAAAAAAAAAAAAAAAAAAGAATTCAGGGCAAGTCCATACAGTAAAGTGAAAGCAAGTTTACTAAGGAATAGACTGGTGGCTTCAAGCCCGTAATCCCAGCACTTCGGTAGACCAAGGAGGGCAGATCAGGAGGTCAGGAGTTGGAGATCAGCCTGGCCAACATGGTGAAACCCCATTTCTACTAAAGATACAAAAAATTAATCGGGCATGGTGGCAGACACCTGTAATCCCAGCTATTCGGTAGGCTGAGGCAGGAGCACCGCTTGAATCCAGGAGGCGGAGGTTGCAGTGAGCCGAGATTGCACTCCAGCCTGGGTGACAGGGTGAGACTGGCTCAAAAAAAAAAAGAAGAAGAAGAAAAGAAAGAAAGTAAAGGAATAACAGAATGGCTACTCCGTAACAGGTTGCCCATTTTTAATGGTTATTTCTCGATGATATGCTAAACAAGGGATGGATTATTCATGCCATAGAGGGTAACTTCCTGACATTGCCATGGCATTCGTAAACTGTCATGGGGTTCATGGGAATGCAGCAGTGAGGACGGCTAGAAGTCAGTAAAGCCGGCTTCTTTATGGCAAACTGTTTTATCAGCAAGGTCTTTATGATCTTTATGTATTTTTGGCTGACTTTCTATCTCATCCTGTGACTTATGCCTTAACCTAATGCCTTAACCTCTGGGAATGCAGCAGAAGTAGGTTTCAGCCTCATTTTACTCAGCTCCTAATTAAGATGGAGATGGAGTTGGCTGGTCGCGGTGGCTCAGGCCTGTAATTCCAGCACTTTTGGAGGCCGAGGCAGGAGGATCACGAGGTCAGGAGATCGAGACCATCCTGGCCAACATGGCGAAATCCCATCTCTACTAAAATAGTAGAAAAACTCAACGTAAAAAAAAAAAAAACAATAATAATAACCAGGCATGGTGGTGTGCGGCTGTAGTCTCGGCTACTCAGGAGGCTGAGGCATGAGAATTGCTTGAACCCTGGAGGCGGAGGTTACAGTGAGCTGAAATAGTGCCACTGGACTCCAGCCTGGCGACAGAATGAGATTCCATCTCATAAAAGAAAAAAAAAAATAGAGCTGCTCTGGTTCACACGCCCCTGACACCTCCGACATTGGTTGTTTTGGAGACAGAGTCTCACTCTCACTCTGTCGTCCAGGCTGAACCCACCTCCTGGGTTCAAGCGATTCTCCTGCCTCAGCCTCCTGAGTAGCTGGGATTACAGGCGCGCGCCACCACGCCCTGCTAATGTTTGTATATTTAGTAGAGGCGGGGTTTCACCATGTTGGTCAGGCTGGTCTCGATCTCCTGACCTCACGATCTGCCCGCCTCGGCCTCTGAAAGTGCTGGGATTACAGTTGTGAGCCAACGCGCCCGGCCAGGGTGGTGGTGTTTTTCCTTCCCAGTCGTTCTCTCAGGATTGTCTTCAGTATGTCCTTTGAGTTTTTTCACTGAATTGTAAACTTCTGAAGGTCGGGGTATTTTGGCTTTCAGTGTTTCTTTCTCGTCCCTTCTCCCAGATCTTACCACGTGTTAGAGATGCAATACATTTGTGAGTAAACTACACTTGAGGCCGTAAAGGCGCCTGTGCACAAAAGGGCGGTCCAGTTCCGCGCTTAAATCTGCACTGTGTCAATATCCGTCCATCAAGTAGCATTGTCGATCAATTTAAGGATTTCTGGTGACAAATGTTTTCCTTTCCAACGGGTGTAGCCCCAAACAAAAATACTGCAAAAGCTCCACCAGCCTCTCCCAGTCCATCCAGAGTTTTACAAATAATAGACCCTGGCCGCAGGAAACCAAAAAGCAGCTGGAGTTGGGTGAATGGGCTCTGGGGCTCGTTCTTTTCACTACAGCGCCAGGAAAGCGAAAGCCTAAGCCAGGATTCAAAAGACGGTCCCTAGTCCTGCACCTGGAGCGCATTTCCCCGGACAGCAAGGAGCATGCGCGGGCCGCGTGGCTCGGCCCTCGCTGCCGTCGCAGCCAATCAGAGGGAGGAAGCCGCCCGGCCTCTGTGAAGAGCGGAGGGAGGGGAGGTGGGTGACTGGCAGGGCCGGGCCGACGGGGGACGCGGGGGCGCGCGCGGAGCCGGCGGAAGGAAGCGCGCCGCTGCTGAGCGCGCGCCCGGTGGGGCCGGCCGCGACTCGCCGCTCGCACGCCCTTGGGCCGGGGCAGGGCGCCCGCTGTTCCTTCCGCCCGCTGTGAGAGCTGAGCCGGTGTATGTGCGGCAATAACATGTCAGCCCAGCTGCCCGCCGTCGTCCCCGCCGCCCGGAAGGCCACCGCCGCGGTGAGTGGCGTCGGCGTGGGCTCGGATGGGCCCACTGGGCCCGCCGGCAGCGGCTGCCCCTCGCGCGGGGTGGGCGTTGCGGGCGGGTGGCCGGCGAGGACTCTCCTCCCGGCCCGGGTGGGGGGCGGGTGGTCGGCGCGGCGGGGCCCGCGGGGTGGGGCGGGGGCAGCCGGGGGGCGCAGCCGGCGCCAGGGCCAGACCCCGGCCGCGCGACCCCGGGACCCCCGCGGCCCGGCGTGCGCTTCTGCAGCGTGTTTCTGCCTGGTGTGTGGGTGGGGGAAACCTCGGTCCCCCAGGACATCGCTGTATTGTCACCTCGCGCTCTTGTCCTCAATGAAAGAAGTTGGAAGATTTAGTGTCCTGTACGGCCAGAGGCACTGTGTTTTTTAGGAAACTCGTGTATGAGAACTCAAACTTACTTTTGTCCGCGGAAGCTTGCTTTTGCGATGGAGAAATTCTACGGGCTATGTGAGATGTTCCGGATGTGACTTGAAAGACAAAAGCAGTTTTTCTTAGAGTGTGCAGAATGTCTCACTGGGACCTCTGAGTGCTAACCCCCCCCATTCATTATCTCCGGAAATAAAGGCAGAGAAGTTGATTGGAATTTTTACCATTTAAAAGAGGTCGATGGAAATAAGTTGTCGAAGATAGTGGTGTGTAAATTCCCTCATAGGTTTCATTCCGTTTTCCACCTTAGTGTGTCACAATCCTGCGTGGGTTTATTTAAGCATTGCTTATTAATTTTTCGTCTTCTCTTATAGGTGATTTTCCTTCATGGATTGGGAGATACTGGGTAGGTACCATTATTATTAATAGTACCTGATGAAACTGGGTCATGCAACTTTATGCGTTCAAAGGTTTAATGTTTAAGTACACTAAACTTGTATTTTAAAAGATTGCTAGTTAGTATCTCTTACCGTGCGGTGATCTTATTTTTTGAAAACCCCCAGAATTTTCCCATTATCATCTTGAATTTATTGATTTTTAACTCCGGTTTCTGCAGCATAATAAAATGGCAGATTCCTCATTAGTTGGTTTGGGTATTGGATAACAGAGATCAGTACGATGTGCAATTGAGAGCTGTCCAGGGCAGTTAAAATTTCAGAGCAGATTGAAGAGAAGTAGTTGATTTTGGTAAGAGAACTAGTGGCAGCGTAAGGCATACAGCACTCTGAATAGGGGGATTAAATCTTCGGTGGCTCAAGCCTGTAATCCCCGCACTTTGGGAGGCCAAGGCGGGCGGATCATCAGATCAGAGGATCCAGACCATCCTGGCCAACATGTGAAATGCCGTCTCTACTGAAAATATAAAACTTAGCTGGGTGTAGTGGCGCGCACCTGTAATCTCAGCTACTTGGGAGGCTGAAGCTGGAGAATCGCTTGAACCCGGGAGGCGGAGGTTGCAGTGAGCCGAGATGGAGCCGCTGCATTGCAGCCTGGGCAACAGAGCAAGACGACTCCATCTCAAAAAAAAAAAAAAGAAAAAAAAGAAAAAGAAAAATGAGTCGAAAGGCAGAGGAAGCAATTCAAAGATTTATTTGAAACTTATCAAACACATTTTGTTATACTAACCCTGCTTATTTTTATTACTTTAGTTTGTATTTTTTTTGTCTATGTCTTTTGTTATTTTTAGAAACGGGCTTGCTCTGTCACCTAGGCTGGATTGCAGTTGTGGGATCATAACTCACTACAGCTTTGAACTCCTGGGCTCAAGTGATCCTCCAGCCTCAGCCTCCCAAAGCACAGAGATTAGAGGCAGGAGCCACCTGAGCCTGGCCTGTTTGTTATACTAACTTTAAATATGTGATTTATCTTTCACTCAAGCTTTTTCTGTATTGAGGCGTTTTTGTTTTTATATTTAATTTAAATCTGTGATAATCTGTGAAACAAGCAAAATATGAATGTTGTTTAAAAAATGCAGAAATAGGAGAAAACTGAAGATAAATACATTTTGATAAAGTAGCCCCAAAATGACTAAATCTTTAAAATGAGCCATGGGCAGGGCCTGGTCTCATGCCTGGAATCCCAGCACTTTGGTAAGCTGAGGCGGGCAGATCACCTGAGGTCAGGAGTTCGAGACTTGCCATTCGAGACCAACATGGAGAAACCGTGTCTCTACTAAAAGTAGAAAATTAGCCAAGAGTGGTGGTACATGCCTGTAATCCTAGCTACTTGGGAAGCTGAGGCAGGAGAATCACTGGAACCCAGGAGGCGGAGGTTGCAGTGAGCCAGGATCAAGCCATTGCACTCCAGCCTGTGCAACAAGAGTGACACTCCATTTCAAAAAAAAAAAAAAAAAAAAAAAAAATGAGCCATTGGGTCTGGTGCGGTGGCTCACTCCTTTAATCCCAGCACTTTGGGAGGCCAAGGTGGGTAGTTCACTTGAGATAAGGAGTTCAACACCAGCCTGGCCAGCATAGTGAAATCCAGTCTCTACTGAAAATACAAAAATTAGCCAGGTGTGGTGGTCCATGCTTGTAATCCCAGCTACTAGGGAGGCTGAGACAGGAGAAGCACTTGAACCCGGGAGGCGGAGGCTTCAGTGAGCCAAGATTATATCACTGTAATCCAGCCTGGGCCACAGAGTCACAGAATGAGACTCTGTCTCCAAAAAACAAAAACAAAATGCGATTGGGCTAGGGTTATTTTTTTTTTACTGGAGTCTTGCTCTTGTTGCCCAGGCTGAAGTGCGGTGGCGCAATCTTGGCTCATTGCAACCTCTGCCTCCCAGGTTCAAGCCATTCTTCTGCCTCAGCCTCCCGAGTAGCTGGGATAACAGGCATGCACCACTATGCCCCGCTAATTTTGTGTTTTTAGTGGAGAGAGGCTTCCTCTGTGTTGGTCAGGCTGGTCTCGAACTCCTGACCTCAAGTGATCCACCTGCCTCTGCCTCCCAGAGTGCTGGGATTACAGGTGTTAGCCACCATGCCCAGCCATTTTTTTTTTCTTTTTTTTTAAAGACAGGGTCTGCCCTGTCACCCTGGCTGGAATGCAGTGGTATGATCTTGGCTCACTGCAACCTCTGCCTTCCAGGTTCCTGGGCCTTCCAAGTAGCTGGGACTACAGGTGCTTGCCACCACGCCCAGCTAACTTTTATATTTTTAGTAGAGACGGAGCTTTACCATGTTGGTCAGGCTGGTCTCGAACTCCTGACTTCAAGTGATCTCCCAAAGTGCTGGGATTGCAGGCCATACCTGGCCCAGATTAGTTCTTAAAAGTGATTTCCTATTTTTTGTCTAAGTAGAGGTATGTAATACAGACCTTATGTGGAGTTACAGAAAATGTTGCAGGACTCTTTCTGGAAATCCAGTAGTCCCGTGAAAATGATGAACTTATTTTACCAAATGAAACTCAAATAGTAGAATTTCTATTTTATGGCCAAAGTAGTAGAATGTCTGTTTTATGGCCAAACCTTAATTGACGTTGCAAGTCAGAGAAGTAGCTTGCTACCCTGTAACTTTACCAACAATGAGAGCTTCTATGCCTGAATGACTAGTACAAGCAAAAAAAACTTCAGTCTAGGCAGATTCCACAGACTGAAGTTAAGTGAAAATGGTGACGGCTATTAGGATCAAAAATACCAAGAACATCCATGACATCTTGACCAAAAGTTAAGTTTATATTTAAAAATTATCCTCCTATTTAACCTGTTGGGATTTAAAAAAATAAAAACAAATTAAAGGCCTCCAGTTCTGAAAATATTTGGTGGGTTAGTGCTAAGGAAAAGCTGACTCTAGATTGGTTCTATGAGTACATGATGAAACTTATGAACCTGTCAGTCTGGTAAGTGGCAATTTGATTTTTAAGTTACTATAGTCTCCCCTTACCCGAAGGTTTGTTTCCCATGGTTTCAGTTACACGTGGTTAAGTGTGGTTAGAAATAAAAAATTCCAGAAATCATTTATAAGTTTAAAATTGTATACCATTCTTTTATTAATTACTTTTTAATTTTATTTATTTATTTCTTTTTGAGATGGAGTCTCGCTTTGTCACCCAGGCTAGAGTGCAGTGGCGCGATGTTGGCTCACTATAACCTCCACCTCCCAGGTTCACACAATTCTCTGTCTCAGCCTCTGGAGTAGCTGGGTTTATAGGCGCCCACCACCACGCCCAGCTAATTTTTTGTATTTTTGTGTAGAGATGGGGTTTCACTATCTTGGCCAGGCTGGTCTTGAACTCCTGCCCTCATAATCCACCTACCTCAGCCTCCCAAAGTGCTGGGATTACAGGCGTGAGCCACCATGCCTGGCCAGTATTCATTTTATTTTTTATTGAGACGGAGTCTTGCTCTGTCACCCAGGCTTGAGTGTAGTGTTGTGATCTCGGCTCACTTCAACCTCCACCACCTGGGTTCAAGTTATTCTTAGGCCTCAGCCTCCTGACTCACTGGGATTACAGGTGCGTTCCACCACATTTAGCTAATTTTTTTGTACTTTTAGTAGAGACGGGGTTTCACCATGTTGGCCAGGCTGGTGTCCAATTCCTGACCTCAAGTGAACCACCTACCTTGGCCTTTCAAAGTGCTGGGATTACAGGAGTCAGCCACCATGCCTGGCCTCAATGACTCATTTTAGAGAAGATTTAGTTGTTTTGGGGCTGTTTTATCAAAATGCCTTTATCTTCAGTTTTCTTCTATTTCTGCAACTTCTTCTGAATGTTGTGATGAAATCTCATTCCATTCCACCCAGGAAACAAATAATTCCTTTACCCAGTGTATCCATACTGTATGCATTCACCATCTGTTAGTCATCTGGGTTATCAGATCAACTGTTGCAGCATTGTTTCGCTTTTTTTTTTTTTTTTTTTTTTTGAGACAGAGTCTTGCCCTGTCACCCAGGCTGGAGTGCAGTGCTATGATCATGGCTCACTGCAACCTTTGCCCTCTGGGTTCAAGTAACTCTCCTGCTTCAGCCTCCCAAGTAGCTGAGACTACCACACCCGGCTAATTTTTGTATTTTTAGTAGACACAGGGGTTTCACCATGTTGGCCAGGCCAGTCTGGAACTCCTGACCTCAAGTGATCTGCCTGCCTAGGCCTCCCAAAGTGCTGGGATTACAGGCATGAGCCACTTCACCCAGCCTGTAGTGCTTTTATCCAAATAATCCTTACATTGCTTAATGGTGGCCCCAAAGGGCAAGAGAAGTGATGTCAGCATATTGTTGTAGTTGTTTTATTATTGTTTATCTCTTTCTATGCCTAATTTATACATTAAACTTTACCACAGGTATTATATATAGAAAAAAACATAGTATATATAGGGTTTGGTGGTATCCATGGATTCAGGCATCCACTAAGGGTTTTAGAGCATCCTTCACTGTTTATTTCTGGAATTTTCCATTTAACATTTTCAAACCACAGTTGACTGTGGGCAGCTGAAACCATGGAAAACAAAACTTAGAAGGACTACAGTATCTTAACCGTTATATAGTCACAGAACAGTTATCCCATTACATTTAACATTTAGTATTATCTAATATGCTCGTATTCAGTCTTTGCCAGATTGTTCCATTAATATTCTTTATAGCTGTCTCCACCCTAGTTACGCATTGCATTAGTTATCAGGTCTCTTTAGTTTTTTTTTGTCTCTTTTAATCTGGAGCAATTCCCTAGATTTTCTTTGTCTTTCATGACACTGACACTTCTGCAGAGAACAGGTGAGTTCTTTAATTTAGGTTTGTTGGAATTTCCTCATGACTAGATTCAGTTCATGCAATTCTGATATATATACTATGTAAACAATGTGTCCTATTCATTGCACACATCAGTAGACTAATGATGCTGAGTCCCTTTATT